GTGGGGGGGGGACACCAGACTGTATTAGCCTTGAAGGTAAAATTGACTCACAGCATGTTCATTGTCGGACAACTTGCATTAGACCTTTAACTTATTCACCCCTAAATTTTCATAATGAACTACGGTATTTCAAAATTTGAATTGGAAGAGTTCAAATGTGTCAGAGTTCAGGGGTTAATTAAACAAGGCCTTAATATACTGTAAACCAGGTAATAGTTATGGCAGTGCTTATACATGTACAGTATTATCATTAAACATAATAAAGAGAACTTTTAATCCCAAACATTAATTCTCCATGACAGTGTTTTTAAATATGATCTCTTTTGACAACCATTTCCTGATGAAGGTAAAGGGTAATTATGCTTTGTATATATGTGAACCCCCTGCTCACACTGGTTTCATAATTCACAGTTTCAGAACTACTTTTTATTCACTGTTGCAGTATATTCGCATGTGCTCAAGCTGATTAAGGAGGGAAAGATTCCTGTGTCAGGGATCTACCTCGGAGATGGACAGGTCCGCTGGTCATGGGAAGATCTACAGGACAACAAGGAAGAGTTTGAGGAGGAGTGCCGATACGTCTGCTACAGCCATGGGGCAGTTGTCCTGAAGGTTCGTGTGGAGTACATTGTACCTATATATGGAGGCCTCAGGTGTATTTCCCTGTCTTGAAGGTCTGTGTAGAGTACATTGTATCTATATATAGAGGCCTCAGGTGGATTTCCCTGTCTTGAAGGTCTGTGTGGAGGACATTGTACCTATATATAGAGGCCTCAGGTGTATTTCCCTGTCTTGAAGGTCTGTGTAGAGTACATTGTATCTATATATAGAGGCCTCAGGTGTATTTCCCTGTCTTGAAGGTCTGTGTGGAGTATGTTGTACCTATATATGGAGGCCTCAGGTGTATTTCCCTGTCTTGAAGGTCTTTGTAGAGTACATTGTACCTATATATAGAGGCCTCAGGTGTATTTCCCTGTCTTGAAGGTCCGTGCGGAGTACATTGTACCTATATATAGAGGCCTCAGGTGTATTCCCCTGTCTTGAAGGTCTGTGTGGAGTACATTGTACCTGTATATGGAGGCCTCAGGTGTATTTCCTGTCTTGAAGGTCCGTGTGGAGTACATTGTACCTATATATGGAGGCCTTAGGTGTATTTCCCTGTCTTGAAGGTCTGTGTAGAGTACATTGTACCTATATATAGAGGCCTCAGGTATATTTCCCTGTCATGAAGGTCTGTGTGGAGTACATTGTACCTATATATGGAGGCCTCAGGTGTATTTCCCTGTCTTGAAGGTCCGTGTGGAGTACATTATACCTAGAGGCCTCATGTGTACTTCCCTGTCCAGTTTTCATGATTTTCCACCCCTGTTACATTTGGTGTTCAAAAACATATGTAATAGGACGAGGAATAGTGATACAGATTGTGCCGTTGCTGGGGCTCGAACCTGAGACCACATGCTCTACCGCTGAGCTAAAGGGAAATTCCCAACAGCTGACGCTTGTAAGGCAACCTTATCAATGCACATCTTTTACACATATATCTTACGTATATACCTTGAGAATATATTATTTTATTTTACATACCTGAGAGAGTGTTATCAGTCAAGTATTTTGTTGACAGAGAAAGGAATATAGTAGATCTTGACTGGGTTGTTGGTGATGCCCCGAAAGCTTAGTAAGTAGGTGTAAGAGTATCTGAAGATTGAATGTCTCTAGTATGGTTTTAGTTACCAAAATGTTTGTCACATCAAGGAAACCACTTGTATTGGAAATGGCCAGCATGTTCAAAATGTGAGTTAAATTGTTTTTGTTTATATATTTTTTTGGCATTCAATTAATTTTCTATATAATTTTCAGGCTTTTGTTTTGATTGACAAGTGGCGATATGTACCTGTCCGTAAGTTCTTCCTACTGCATTATCTCTCCGACGACTCGCCAGAGTAAGTTTACCTGTCTTTATCACTAACCAGAGTAAGTTTACCTGTGTTGATCACTAACCAGAGTAAGTTTACCTTTGTTAATCACTAACCAGAGTAAGTTTACCTGTGTTAATCACTCACCAGAGTAAGTTTACCTGTGTTGATCACTCACCAGATCAAGAGTAAGTTTACCTGTGTTGATCACTAACCAGAGTAAGTTTAACTGTGTTGATCACTCACCAGAGTAAGTTTACCTGTGTTGATCACTCACTGTGGTTAATAATATCCGATATTTCATTATATTGACTGCACTTGGCTTTTACTAATTTGGGAAACAGCAGGTCAGTATTCTCTTTATGACAACACTTCAACTGTGATGTAACACTGCTCTCTGACAGTGTCAGTTCTTTTCGCCACATTTCTTGTGTTCCATCTGATCTCGTTTAACGATGGAAAAACATTGGCTTGTTTATTTTCACTCACAACTTCAGGCTCTGCCATTTTGTTTGTCCCAGCCAACACTGTTCATTGTTATTTGTGAGTTTTTGTTTACTCTCCCAGATGAGGGAGAAAAAGACAAGGACCGAAAGGCTTATATACCCTGCTGTCATGCTGATTTTTGGGGAAATTGGAAATAAGATATCATATATCTCAGCCAGTTGAAATCAAAGTTTACTAATAAGATAAATTATGCTTGATTTCAAAATAATCTTTATGTTTCATCAGAGTGATATATAAATCAGCCTACTCTTTCTTATTTATTTTTTTAGAGGGGAACTTTTCTTTGTGAATAGACCTTTGGATTTTTACCAGAGCATTTTTATGGAAAAAGACAGAGTAAGTATTTCTAACAAAGCGTCACTAATTTTAGTAGTAAATTGGCAGTATTAAACCCAAGCTTGGTCTATGTAGACATTGTTTGAAAAAAAAAGACTTTAGGGTTGGAAAAGATCTTAGACTTATTGATCATAGCATCAGTGCAGATGTCAATAGTTAAAGAACAGATATGTCCACAGGTTTTTTTTACAGTTTAAAATGCAAGATTAAGGGATGTAGAAAGTGTCTATTTCTCCTCAACTTATACGCCTTTATATTTAAGAAGAGCTGATATTAAGGAACCCAGTTAATTATTGGCCAATTTATGTGAACTTATTATCTAGTTTGCTTATATTTTCCAACATGTTTCATACTAAGTTGCAAGTAGAGACGATCTTTAGTTCAAACATCTCGCAAATATTTATACACAATTGAACAATTGAGCTGGCATTGTTCTTGTATATTATATATATAGGCACTACAGCGCCTAGAACAATCTTCAAAATTAGTACACATGTTATTTCATTTTACAGCAAAAAGACAAAGATCAGCTATGTAAAACAACAACTAGAAGGATGAAATGTATAAAGTGACCTAATATTTTCATATTTTCATTATTTCACTTCAAAAAGACAATGTTCACTGGAGCAAAAGAAAGTGCACTGTATTTAAGTTTTTGACTTTCACCTCAAGGTCAAATGTCATAAGAATGCAAAATTTCTAATGAAATTTTGTTTGTGTCACAACTTTAAACAGTTAAAGATAAGTTTGAAGAAACTTAAGAAGTATATTTGCCTCATTCCCAGATTTAATTGTTCGTGTTTGTTTGTGTTAGGCTGCCTTTCACTACCAAAATGGTGGCACCATGAATGGAGGTGACCCAATGAGTGGGGCAAACGTGCGCTCAGCCCAGCGGTCACTAGAGGCCATCCTCATTGATGGTCAACGTCGATGTGACTGGCTCAATGTCCACAGAGGGCTGCTTCTCAGGAGCCTTCTCAGTGAGGTCAGTAAAGGCTGACCATTGGTTGTTGTATGTTGAGACCAATAGTCAATGTGTTTAAGTATTTTTGAATATCAATGTATATATAATAATGAATGCAATACAGTGATTTCCATTTTATGTTGTACATATGTGTATTACTTAAGTCAAATTTTCATTTCTATCATGTTTTTCTTAAAATGCATTTTTTTTCTCTATGCATACATACTGTATATCTTATCTATACACGTGTAATAGTTTGTTTAATATATGATTTGACATGAAAACCTCTGAAAATGGTGTTCTTAGGCCTGTTACCAAACACATTGAATGTAGTAATCACACAAGGTTGAACTTTAGATTAATCCAGTGATAATGTTCATACCTTGGCTTAGTTCAGAAAGCATTAATTGTTGATTGGGGCATCTTTACTTGCTTTCTTACATTACAAGTCAACAAGGTGCGATTAATTTATGTTGTTAAAAACTGACTTCTATAAAGTTAAACTATGTATTCATGTATTAATACTTCAATATTTTCAAAGCATTAATTTTCTGTTAATGACACCGTTTGCTTAATTTATATGAATAATCTGCTTAATATGACATTTCTGCTTAATATCACATACCCCTCTAACATATAACAATAAGAGGAATACAATGTCATATTTACATTATCAGCTGAGGACATTAGACAAGGTCAATTGGCAGACTTTTAGACTAAATTATTTCTATTTTTAAAGGGATAGGTGGTCGGTTGGGTTCCATAAAAATTGGGATGTTTTACAATTTAAAAGAATGGGTTAGTTAGGATTTGATTTTGACATTTTTGTCACCAAAACCTGAACAGAATCGGGGACACCTTGCAGAGACGTGGCGAATGCTACACAGTCGAGCAGCAGAGATTGAGTACCTTATCTTTGTGATCGACGCACTACAAGACCTCGTCCAACTCATGATGGAGTACAGAGATTATAACAAGAAGAAGTTGGGTGACAAACCTAAAAAGGGAAAGAAAAAAACAGCTGAGCTAAGGGCAGAATTGGAGGTAAACCATTTTCTGACACGATCAAATCAATATAAGCAATATTGTCAACAGTGATGTTTTCAAAAGTTGAAGCAAGCTTAAGATTTATAGACAATCTAGAATGTCACCCACAGGACTTAGATTTATAGACAATCTAGAATGTCACCCACAGGGCTTAGATTAATAGACAATCTAGAATGTCACCCCTAGGGCTTAGATTTATAGACAATCTAGAATGTCACCCAGGGCTTAGATTTATAGACAATCTAGAATGTCAACCCTAGGGCTTAGATTTATAGATAATCTAGAATGTCACCCTTAGGGCTTAGATTTATAGACAATCTAGAATGTCACCCCTAGGGCTTTGATATATAGACAATCTAGAATGTCACCCTTAGGGCTTAGATTTATAGACAATCTAGAATGTCAACCAGGGCTTAGATTTATAGACAATCTAGAATGTCACCCCCAGAGCTTCGATTTATAGACAATCTCTCTGTTGCGTATAGAAACTGTGTCACATTCCATATAACACATCACATATTTCATTGCCCATTGTTAGATTCTGATATCAGGCAGATATTTAATGAGTAATAAGAAAAATTGAATAGAAGACCAAATGAGGTGACAAAATCAAAAGAGGGGCATTATATTGAAGTCTTACTGTACAGTTAGACAGCATTTAGACAAAGTTGTTGGACCATAAAAAATCTTCTAGATGAACAAGGTATCTGAGACATTTAAGTTTGTATGATTGTAGTTTGACTATGTAAAGAATATGTCTGTGTCCAGGGTCCAATCAAAGAGGAAATATTTGGGAAGATGGTGATGGGCTTCCATGAGAAACTGCTGAATGTCTGCCATGCCCGAGTTGTTTTGGCGAGGAAGCACCTAGCGACTGTTATCCAGGATAAAATACAAGCAGTGTTAGAGGAGGATGATAAACTGGATAACTACTATCTAGCCTATGAACCACAGGTATAGTTTAAAGTTATCTCCCTTCCACAGGGTTTAACAACCGGTGGTAAATGGTATTTACTGGATAGTCGACATGGTGAATAGTAACATATCTTATTCCAATAAAACAAGATGGCCATCATCTAATGCTTCTGATTGGCTGAAACATATATATAGAGAGAGCAAATTTGTTTTTTCATATAATTTTGTTTTTATTTTCTGGTAAATTGTACTTGCTGGATGGTCAACATAGTGAATAATGACATATCTATTCCAATAAAACAAGATGGCCATATGGCTTCTTACTGATTGAGGCCTAAAAACTTTGGTTGTGCTGGTCTGATTCTATAACTTTGTAGTTACTATAGTCTTTGTTTGGATTACATACATATATAATGATTTATTACCAATATTTCAATATAAAAAATAATAACTTGGGTTTCTGCTTCTTGATCATTGGTGATATACACTGCCAGGCATACAGTTGGTGCCTTAATATTAGCTGGCTGGCTGGTATTCTAGTTTATTTACAGTTTCTGGATTGAAAATTCAATGATTTAGGTATTGAGTATGTCACCCCGGTAAAATAATAGCCGCTTCCACTGATTAGACTAGAGAGAATTTCTCTTTAGTTCATTCTGTAGAGCGTAAGAATAATAAACCAGCGGTCCCGGGTTCAACTCCTAGCTGAGGCATTAAAAACAAAATGACCTGTTACAAATAAAATAATTATTAGCTTACCGGGTCCGAAGGCTTATGCCATACCGTGGCATCAGTCATCCGTATGTCAACAAATTCTTCAAACGACTTCTTCTTCTTTACCACTGATTGGAATTTAACGAAATTTGACTGGAAGCATCCCTAGGGTGGTGGGGATTTAAAATTGTACAAATGGTGGGGCTGACCGCCCAGGGGGCTGAGGGGCGGGGCCAAAAGGGGGCAATTTGGCTATATTGCTATAAACAACTTCTTCTGTAGAACTGTGCAATAGATATCAATCATATTTGGTTGGAAGCATTCATGGAAGGCGTGGATTCAAAATTGTACAAATGGTGGGGCTGACCCCCCAGTGGGCTGAGGGGTGGGGTCAAAAATGGTTATTTGGCTATATTGCTTTAAGCTACTTCTTCTCTGAACTAAGAAATGGATATCAACCATATGTGACTGGAAGCATTCCTATGTAGTGAGGATTCAAAATTGTACAAATGGTGGGGCTGACCCCCCAGGGGGCTAAGAGGCGGGGCCAAAAGGGGGCAATTTGGCTATAATGCTAAAAACGACTTCTACTTTAGAACTTTGCACTGGATATCATTTATATTTGGTTGGGACCATTCTTTTGAGGCGGGGATTTGAAATTGTACAAATGGTAGGGCTGACACCCCCGGCTGAAGGGTGGGGCTTATTACATTGTACTTGTTTATGTCTTGGAAATGGTTGAGATCCCCACCCTATAACCATATATACAACTGCTGAGTATAAAGAGACAAATGCACATATGCTTCCAGGATGGCCCTGGGGTATGGCCCCACCCTTGGAGACATAGTCCCTAGGTCATAACTTTGAAATGGTTGAGATCCTCACCCCAAAACTGTATATACAAATGCTTGGCATAAAGAGACAAATGCAGTCATGATATTAGAATATTTCCTGGGGTCTGGGTAAACCCCTAGGGACCTAGTTTTTGAGTCACAGCTTGGAATCAGTTGAGATCCTCACCCTATAATCAGATATACAGTTGCTGAGCATAAAGAGACGAATGCACATATGCTTCCAGGATGGCTCCGGGGTCTGCCCCACCCTTGGAGACATAACCCCTGGGTCATAACTTTGAAACGGTTAAGATCCCCACCCCAAAACTACATATACAATCGTTGGACATAAAGAGACAAATGCAGTCAGGATATTAGAATTGATCCTGGGGTCTGCCCCACCCTTGCAGATTTAACCCCTGGGTCTTAACTTTGAAACGGTTGAGATCCCCACCCCAAAACTATATATATACAAATCCTGGGCATAAAGAGACGAATGCAGCCATGATATTATAACTGATCCTGGGGTCTGGCCGCAACCCTAGGGACCTAGTTTCACCTTTGAAACAGTTGAGATCCCCAATCCATAACCATACATAAAATTGCTGGGCATGAAAAATCTAATACAGATATGCTACGAAGATTGGCCTTGGGGTATAGCCAATTCTCTTGGATCTTATTTGGAGAATATTTTGCCATGATTGCTTAGATATCCAGGTGAGTGATACAGGCCCTCTGGGCCTCTTGTTTAAAGATGTATTATTACTGGTATATATTTACATTTAGCAAAACCTTGTTATCCTTCTTGCAGACGCTCTTCAGATTGGAGGAGATAAAGCACATGTTGCAGTTTATACAAGACACTGTGGCAGGTGACGTCCATGCAGTTTGTCCATATGCTAATAAAATTCTAGGCTCTTTGGAAAAGAACATGAACAGATCCAAACAGCGACGTGCATCTGTTGATTCCATCATACTTAGCGACCCCAAAATGTACCAGAAAAGTATGAGACGTCATACAATGGATAAAGTCTGGTTCTTTGGATAGCTCCTAGTGGACGATTGAAATGTACTTTAAAGGAGGGGAAAATGAGATAATTTTTATAACATGTATTATAAATATCAATGTCTGGTTCACTTGATGAGCCAGTAACGCATATTAATTTTTTTTAAATGTGATTTTTAAGAAATATTGGAAAAGGAACAAAATATATTTTGTTTTTGTGTCTTGGTTTTTTTCGATGTCTTCCCCCAATCATCTGGGATTAATCTACTTGTGCATTCCATTTATGATTAATTTCACAAAACTTTTGTTCATATACTGGTTTAATGTTTTATGTCAACTTGTTAAATTTTCAGGCATTGAACAACTGAATCCTGATTATAGAAACATCAGTGTATTAATCTTATAGATTCTATTTAAATGATTTGACTTGGACCAATCGGCAGTGCTTCAAATGACTTAGATGATAGGGAAATTCACTTTTTTTAGAGTTTATATATAATTATTTCAACTTTCTTTCATTTAATACCAAATGCTCCGATCTCATTTATAGAGTTTTCTGTCCATACCACTTATAATGGAAAAACAACAAAACAATGTTAAAAGTGTTACTACTAGGTCATAGTTAACTGTGACCTCAGAGTAACGATACACATCAACAGAATCGAAAGGCATATACCATAATATTTAGCTGGTTGCTTCTTAGTATAGAGCTCACCAATGTTTGCATATGAAGATGACCTCAACCTACTTTAAAGGTCACAGAAGTCAACAACATTTCAAACGATTTTTCTGAAGAACCAAAAGGGATGGACTCATAAGATTTGGCTGGTAGCTTCTTGGGAGAGATCTAGAGCCAACAGAGTTTGAGAAGGAAAATGTCCTTGACCTACTTACAATTGCAAGGTCACAGGGGAAAATATGTCAACAATTTCTAAAGAAGAACCAAAAAGCATAGAATCATATAATAATATTTGGCTGGTAGTTTCAACAGATGGAGCCGACAAAATTTTAAGTGAAATATTTGTAGTACAGTATAATATTAAATGAGAATATTTTGCTATGACTGCTTAAATATTCAGGTGAGGGATACAGGCCCTCTAGATGTAGGCCTATTGTTTGTACATTTAAGAATTTGCAAGAATTGACCCGGTTGATTATCCAAGAAGTTCTTGCCAATGTTTGAATAAGAATACACTGTTTATAGTCATGTGTGTATTGACTGGTAGATTATATAGAGGATATTAAATGACTTTCTATTTTATATCAAATATGTTTCCTATATATTCATATTTTTTGTCTTTGGGGTATTATCTCAACGCTGTATTTCATGTACATCACAAACTTTGGAAATAAATGTTTTGTAAAATATATTTGCTCGAGGAAATGAATCTGTTCACAAATTTATAATTGCAAGTATACACTTGTATGTCAGATGTCCTATGAAGTGCAAAAATATGAATGTATAGAAGTATGTTTATGTTTATGATATATTGCATTCAATTAGAAACAATAAAATGTTTTCATGTTTCATTGAAACTTTGCAGTTTTCAAAAAAAAAGAAATGAAAATTCTGATAGCCATTCTTATTACTACAATATGAGGACACTTACGTAGAATTTGTGTCAGCTTTGGTGTGAACAATTCAGGTAGTGGGATTCTTTTACTGTCCAACATGAACACATTTCTCATATTTGTATTCCATAATAATAATAAAAAAGAATTCAGTTGCATTGGCTTTGAGTTATTTAGTATAAATCTAACCTCAGTGGAACTATTTATTGTCATCCAACGACTAATTATATTTATATATATTATGTATATTCCACATTTTTGACATTGGTGGACAAATAGAACCATCCACTACCATGAGAGTGTGACAGAGAAATCTCCAGCCCTTGCGGTGATTATTCGGTTGTCTATCCAATTGGCTGAAATCTCTAATCATTTCAAAATCATGATATCAGAATTCACATTTTGAAAATCTATGTTTAAAGACTCGTTTATCTAACGAGACTTTAAACAATCCGGGGCTGGTAATTCTGGATTGTAGGTTAATAATAATAATAATATACAACATTTATATAGCGCCATATTTAATTTGTAAAATTACTCTAAAGCGCTTTACAACATATGGATAATAGTAATGGTTATAATTGTGAAAACAAAAAATAAAGGCTTACAATCACTTTTATACATTTAAGCAAGCAATGTGCACATAATTGAACAAATGAAGGGTGGTATTTACATGACGTCTTTGCAGAGACCCAGGATTTAAACAATCGGGCTCTGGTAATTCTGGATTGTTAGTTAAAGCAAGGCTTTAAACAATCGGGCCCTGGTAATTCCGGATTGTAAGATAAAGCCGGGCTTTAAACAATCAGGCCCTAGCTGGTATTCTGGATTGAAAGTTAAAGCCAAGCTTTAACCAATCAGGTCCTGGTAATTCTGGATTCTAAGTTAAAGCCAAGCTTTAACCAATCTGTCCCTGGTAACTCTGGATTATAAGTTACTGCCAGGCTTTAAACAATCCGGCCCTGGTAATTCTGGATTGTAAGGTAGCAATAATAATAATAATAATAATAATAATTTACAACATTAATTTTTCCCGGTTTCACAGTTAGGGGACTAATAAATGGAATGAAACGGAGATGGGGTTTTTTTTCATAAAAATAAATATTTTTGTGCATCACAGAAGATTAAACCACGGAAACTAACCTGGGCCCAGTTGTTCAAAAGGTGATTAGCTTAATCACTGTTTAACGATATTTTTCAACCTTTAATAATTGCGTCAATAAACAAGATACAATCTCATAATTTTGCATGTAAATTCACTCTACTAAATAGGTGATATCTGTAAAGTTCTACCTAATTCAGTAGTTTTGTTTTGAAGTTACATACAAATTAAAATTTGCGCTAATCACTGATTAAGCTAATTACCGTTTGAACAACTAGGCCCTGGTTGTATTTTGATTATCACTGATCATGAAGGGAATTAAGTACCCGTCAATAGCTTTCCGGATTTGTCTCTTATTTCCGGTCCTGAATTTAGAAGCAATTCAAGATGGCTGCCTCCATGGAAGCGCACGCGAAAGGGAAACAAAAAGTAATAAAAAGTGTGCCAAAATCGTCCAACGAGAAAAGGCTGATCGTTATTTTGGAAAAGGCATCACTTGAATCCGTTAAGGTAATATCATACGACACATTTTGTAGCTTAATTTATAGTTTATTCGTCGAAAATTCGATAAGCAGATTAAGCCCACATGTTTGCATTTTGCGTATTTTCTTCGCATCACAGGGGTTCTGGAATATATGTGATATATTTAGGTATTGCACATCAATGTGATAATAAATAATTGAGTTCTAGAATTTACAGATAACGCTATCTGTTTAATAATGTTATACATATTATAGAACCAAATTATTTAGATAAATCAGTGATGTGCGAGATACCTAAATAGACATATCACGTGTACTACGGGGGGGGGGGGGGGGGGGGTCAGGCAGTATACAGCTCAGGTATGATTGCACTGGTGTCACCCAACCTCTATCTGTTGTGTCCTGTCCACGTGTACCAGTCCTGTGCTAAGTGTTGTCAGTTTACCTGTCTGGCTTTGCTGTTTGTGCTAGTGTCAGTACTCCGTTTTCATTTGTCCATAGTTTTTTTTATTGTCAAGGTGTTGTATAAAGCGGGGTGTTACTTTCGTTTCGGGGGTAGACCGAAGGATTGAGTTCATGTAACGACTGCTGTAGGAATATTAGAAATATTTAATGAAGCTGGGTAAAGGAAGGGATCGGTATCTTGGGTGAACACTAGGTAGGATTTCGGGAACTTTCAGTCACTTAGTGATATGAAACGGTGGAGTTGTATACGTATCATGTAGGCCTATATGTTGTTCATGTTTACTTGTACGTATTTCTGTAATTGAATATTAATGTTAATTGTTTATCAGAGTTGTCGAGTCGTATCTCAATAAACAAAAACAAGTACAGTACCCAATTCAAACCTGGGTTAATGTACATCAAAAGGTGTTGAGCCGGGTGGTTTGTTCACAACAAACTGGCCATGGGCCTGTCTCGCTCCGATCCTGTTACACAACACACCTGAGGTAGAATACTGATAAATGATACTACAGCTGAAAGAAAATAAAACTGCCATTAATAACTGCCCTTGATATTTTTTACATAAGCATGTACATATTTATCTTTACAGGTTGGAAAGCAATTTGAGTTGATAAACTGTGACAAACATAAACATATTGCCAAAAAGAGTGGACGAGACATTTCCCAATGTCGGCCAGATATTACACACCAGGTAAGACAATGGAAACGGGTTCTCACAGTGAATCGGAAAGACCATGTTCACGTTAAACTTTGCTATGCATTATATTCTAAATGTTAGAAGATTGAACACTGCATAATGACAAAACAAGCTTTCATCAACAGGTACAAGCCTTGTCTGTCAAAAGACCTATAAAATATTATTGTTGTATCGACAGACGAGGCTAGTACCTGTGTTTCATCTAGAATTTGTTCAAAATTTTGAAATTTGAGATTTTTTTAAGTAAACAAAAGGTACAGCGATCAGTCTATTTATTGTTTTGATGGGTCTTTTTCCGTCATATTGTAAAGACTGTAGGTCCCACAATGTCAAATCTCAGTATTGTAATAAAAACTATTTCCTAAAAATTCTATGAAGTCCCATCCAAACCTTTGACTTCAGGCAAGGACTACCTTTTAGATAGTCCTGAAATGACCGTAGCTGTTTATAATGGGACTGTAACCTGTAACAAAGTTATAGACAACACAGAACTGGGACTTGATGTGTAATTATTAAAAAAAAGAAAACATGTATAAGACAACCACCTATTTCAAAACTTAATGAGAATACTGCTGAGTTTACTTAATTCTGCTTTGCAACTGATCATGAGATCATTAGGCTGTACTTTATCATGTTTAAGTGTTTACTGATGCTGATGGACAGTCCACTAAATCGAGCTGGTCTGCTGCAAGTCTACATCCACACTGAGAAGAATGTCCTCATAGAAATCAACCCACAGACAAGAATTCCTCGCACGTTTGACAGGTTCTGTGGACTTATGGGTAAGACAGTTGAATTATTACATAATTACATGTACAGTAAACCCTCCAGGTAATGCCCCTCGTTTTATTTGCCACTTGCATTTGCTTACCACCAATATATTTCACAGTCTGTGTGGGGTTGACCAGTGAATGATTTTATGTGGGATCAACCAGTGTAAGATTTTATGTGGGGTTGACCAGTGAATGATTTTATGTGGGATTGACCAGTGTATGATTTTATGTGGGGTTGACCAGTGAATGATTTTATGTGGGGTTGACCAGTGAATGTGTCGTTATAATTATGTCCCATGTAGTATTGATCTGTGTTGGAATTATATTATGTAGGAGTAACTTATGAATGTAGAAATTTTATTACATGGCAATGATATAACATCAGTCGATGAATTTTCACATTCTGTATTACTCCAACAATGTTAGAGGTTTTACACGGCGAAAAACTTTTGACAGGCGCCGCGTAACCTCTAACTGCCCATAGCTGATTTTCCCGATGCTGACTATCACATTTTCCAAGTTCGGATTAAGAAAGAGAATATCGTGTTTACATACATACATTTATATGGTCAAAAGGGTCCAATAAATATTCCTTTCCATAAATCCATGATTATATGAGAAAAATTTCATGTCAAAGACATAAATAATGAGTTTTTCCTCATTCGAAGCGAAGCAGACAGCATTTGCCATGATTTTTCCGGTCAATACAAAAATGAATTACATGTAATGTTTTACAAGCGGAATACAAACAAACTCCGTATCATTTCGTTCCGTTTGAAATTCTCCCTGATATTTTGTTTTAATCCAGAAGCCATGTTTTAAATGTAGGTCAGAGATGTGCTACAACGACATGGACATGTATTTTGAGTGTTTTATTCCGTAATATACTATATATTTGTGTCTGTGACATATTTATGAGATCAATATTATATAAACCGTGAGTAGACATCGTTGTCATGAACTGTTAACCACTTATGTGAGTTTTTCAAGGCGATTTTGTTCCGCCCGGATTTCGGGCGGAAACTGCATCAAAGAATTAAAAGTTAGTGCTTCGGAAATGAGAGGTCGCAGTCGGCAAAATCATATCCGATTGAAAAAAGGCCGACCAGCGGCCTCTCATGTTATGGGAGTAATTCTGTATGTATTCACATTGTCCAACTTTCTCATTTAGAAATTGAAGATCTCTGAATTGTTTTTATTAGTCTTCCAGTTTATAAGTTATCTATCCCTTGTCAAAGGCATATCCCACATAATCTGCAGCTGCCAAATTTTGTATACAAGTACATGTTCTGAAGGCAGTACTTAAACTGAGTCTAATGTCCATGTATATACAGAGTTATTGCCCCTTGAGTACATTCCTCACATTAATCAGGGCGTTATTTCCTTTATTCGGACATATGCAAATGCAAATATTTATATGTTGGTACTTCTTGGGATGGTGAAGTTAAATTCAGGTCTGGTGCCTCACTGGAACAGAGTTATGGCCCTTTGTTTATTTTTGGTACTAAAGTATGTGTGGATGTGATATTATAATATAATATAATAATACTGGACACACGCAAAAGCCTATATATCCAGATCATATGTATGGTCAGCATCTAGGCTGACATCCCGACAGTGGATAAGTTCATTGTTGTCAAGTTCATGATTATAAAAACATTCTGGTTGTCCCCAATGCTTATCCAGCCAGCCGGGCTTCAAACGTTTTTATTGTTGGTGATGTGACGACGTGATTTGGAGGAGTATGGATTGCACCTGGTACTTCACTTTATTTATTTATATTTTTTATCACCTGACAATTTTACTTAAATAGAAACTATGTATTTTATAGGTAACGGCTATAGACAATAAGGGTATAGCCCTATAGTCTGAGACTAGTGAAATCTCAAGCAGGACCAGTGGTTCTAACAACTGCTAAACCAATTGACTCAGTCAGATTTTGATATTGCTTATCTTGTTGAATAATATTTGGTTAGTGGAATTCGCACATGGACTAGTGAAAATTCAAAACTACCCCGTTGACTTTTAGTCAAAATTAATTTCTAGACCTGCTTGGATATTTAGAATTTTAGCTGGTTTAAATTTAAACAAGAATGTTTATGAATTTAAACTATGAAAATTGAATACCAAGTTTAAACCAGTGTGTCTCAATATATTTTATGCCCCATTGACATTTACATACCAAGATTTGAGTTTGTAATGCTTCAACCTTTCTTTTTCTTACAGTACAACTACTACGTAAACTCAGCATCCATGCTGCTGATGGACCACAAAAGTTACTCAAGGTAAATATAGATTCTCGTGTGTTTTTTTTGCTATAAAGATAAGTAATTTGGTAACACCTTGAGACAAAGTCTCATGCAGTGTCCTTGTACCATTTAGAGCAAGCTTGGTGCTCAGCTTCTGTATAACCATATAATCCAAACTGTTCAATCCAAAGTCTTGCTCTTTTTCACTGCAGTTGTTCTGCATCAACACCTATTTTAAATCTCTAGTTGGGGAGAATGATAGTTTGATTGTTTGTTTGGGGTTTAACATCCTCACAAACGAAACAAACAAATGATCACTCTTCCAATGACAGAGTCTACCATATGTTAGTACGTGTATCAGAAGATATTGAAATTTACGTCATATGTTGATTTTCTCTATGTCCCATATCACATACCTACCAGTATGTGTGTGTTTTGTGTATTTGGGCTGTTGATTGCTTTCAATTAGTTTCATTTCCAGGAAATGAATAAAATAATTTGACATTATAGCAATGGGACAGCCAATTGAGAATTGAACTAAATATTAAGGCTGCTTTTGTTTGTTAGAAAACTTCCCTAAAAAAATGGCACAGTTTTCTGTTCAGACAAAGAAAACCCAACCACCAAGGAGCATTTTCTATTGAGACAGAAATTAATGCAATTCTTTTAGAATTACTGTATTGTCCTGCAATAAGCCCAGAGCACAGGGACCTGAGAGTTTGTTACAGCTATATTTGGACCTAAACTAAAGTGTTCAGAGTAATTTTACATGTTTTAGGAGTTTAGATCAACTTTTAAAAACCTTGTATATGCATATAAAATGTATTCTCATTCCGCAGACATGATCTCCGTTTCCCCCCAAAACACACCATTTCAGAGTTTCAAAGTTTTTTGCACTCATTGTGCCCCTTTTTTTCATATCAATGAGGTTGAGGTCAGCGCGTGCCAAAACATGCCGTGTTGGTTGGTTTAGCATAAAAAAATGGCTGCGCTTCCAGCCAATCATACCACAGGTCTCCTCACGTGCTGACCTCAACCTTATTAATATTTAAAAAAGTACTAAGCATTCTGTAGATCAACTAGAAATGTTGCTTTTGATGCAAGAACGTTAGGTGGGGTCAAGTTTTCGATTTCGAGAGCTTTCCGCCCTTCTCGTATATATGATCATAGGGGTGTCATTTTTACAAAACATCTATCTAAACCCCTAAAACATGTAAAATTACTCTGAACACCTTAGTTTAGGTCCAAATATAGCTGTAACAGATTCTCAGGTCCCTGTGGCCCAGAGAGCCATCACATAATCTACGACTCATAGTAGGTGGGGGGCTTACTACAGGATAATAAAATAAGATATGTTGGCATTTCTACTGAAATGGAATAGATAGGGGTGGGCCAGGCATATTTCCTGATAAATATGGTATATCTCTTATATTGGTGGGAAATTCAACTTACACGTGTAATAATATAAAGAGACGTTCATTCCTGCTGTTGTGGGAGAATAATATAAACATGGTGTACATGTGGTGTAAGGAAATGTCTCTGATTAAGTCAAATACAGAATCCATAATCTCTAGGTTCTTTTCTTTTTGTCAGATAATAAAAAACCCAGTGACTGAACACTTACCTATAGGGTGTCCAAAGATTGGGACATCTTTCAGCGCAGACCTCTGTCAGGACCTAAAGGAACTTATCCCTTCAGCTGAACCTGTAGTGTTTGTGATCGGAGCAATGGCACATGGCAAGGTAAAGTTATTCTCTCTTTGTTTTGGTAAATGTTAACTTATCAAATCATTTAAATGCCACCTCTATCTTTTCTTTTTAGGTCACCTGAGCTTTAGCTCAAGTGACCTATTGCTATCCGTCTTCGTGCATCGTCGTCCGTTGTGCATCGTCCACTAACTTTTTATATTTTCAACTTTAGCTGTCGAAGGAATTTCATTGATACTTCATGGGAATGTTACTGACATCTCCCTGACCAAGTGCTGTTATTTTTCCGGTCGATCAGAAACTTCTACTGGGACGATTTTAACTGAAACTCTGTCTAGGAATAATCAATTCATGGTCCTGACAAACTTAACTTGATGTTATACTTTACTTTTTTTACTCAAATTTGTAGGGATGATTGACATCATTATCTCCACTTCATATTTCAACATCAAAAATAAATACTTTTAGACTCAGGTTACAGTTAAGGCGCATGGGCCTCTTGTTCTCTTATACACTTTCTTTTGGAGGTGTCTTCCTTGGCACTTACGGTTAACGTAATTTCTTGTGTATGAAAAATGCTCTCTATAGTTATATGATCAAGCAGGTATATCAGGACGAAATGTTTTCAAAAAGCTATAAATATTGTAGGCTATGTGATATTGTACAAATCCGAAATTGAATAAAAATTCAATCATATATAAAAACACAACAAATTTCAGAAATACCCAAGTTTTATCATTGACCTTATGCATGAAAAGTTGGTTTATGTTACTGGCATTGTGTTATATCAGCTTGATGGTGTAGCTAGTGGAGTACTAGGGGTTACCGTGGCTGTTTACATCTGACATCTAAAGTATGAGTGGTGCTATTGGTACATCAAGGATATATAACTTTAAAAAAAATCAAATTTATATCTTAATGGAAAGATTGGATATTTGCATTATTATATCCAGATAAGTACAGGTGAGAGCTACATGTAGCTGACGTTGGTAATGAACCAGGTATTCAGTGTGTATAATAGTATGTAGCAAATAACTGGCAGACAATCTATCTGAACGAGCAATATGTTTCCAAACCCTTTCACCACTGTAGACCAGTATTGACTCATCCATATCAATGCATGGTAGAGTCTACTGAAGTTACATAGTGGTGAAAGGGTTCACATGATATTTTGAGATGTGCGGGCAATGTAACAGAGCAGTAGCAATACACAAGAAATTTCAGTAGTCAGAATAATGGCAACAAGAAAGATTTTATGCTGCTGTCCTTTTGAACTATTCAAGCCATGAAGCCTGTGTTTGTCACATCTTAACTGTTGTAATACAACTCAATCTTGGAATGAAGTTGTTCATATGTTTCATCTCATTTAATGAAACAAAGAATTTCTGGTATTTACAAAAGTGTAATGATGGTAAATATTGTAGTAGAACACACCCACAAACACTGTCAAGAATGCTTCTAGTTTATTGCATATCTCATGATCAGTTTAACATAGCATATGAAAAAGCCTTCAAATTACTGTATAATATTACACATCTGATCAACTAAGCTTATAACATACATAGCATAGCAATAAGATTTTATGTATAACATGTTATCTTATGTATCAAATGGAGATTATTCCAGAAGAGCTGTTGGAGAACAGCATAGATTAGTATTAATGACATAATTAACTGCAAAGATACATAGCTAAGTCAAGCTGTTGGAGAACAGCATAGATTAGTATCAATGACATAAGTAACTGGAAAGGTACATAGCTAAGTCAAGCTGTTGGAGAACAGCATAGATTAGTATTAATGACATAATTAACTGGAAAGGTACATAGCTTAGTCAAGCTGTTGGAGAACAGCATAGATTAGTATCAATGACATAATTAACTGGAAAGGTACATAGCTAAGTCAAGCTGTTGGAGAACAGCATAGATTAGTATCAATGACATAAGTAACTGGAAAGGTACATAGCTAAGTCAAGCTGTTGTAAATATATCTGGATATACCTTTAGTTTAACAAAATATCACTGGATGTACTGTCAGATAATTTTATAACAAAGCTTAATCACAAAATAAAATGATACACAAATTAATTAAAAGACATTATAGATATACAGCAGGTAAGATTAACTCGTATATTGAAAAATATAATAATAAGGGAAGATGTAGGGTATCACTAAAATATTCATACCAAATTATTTGATGATTCCTCTATTAACATATTCGGATCAGCTTCTTTTTTACATTAAATTGCATTCTATTTCTTTGTTGACAGGTAGAGGTGCCTTACACAGAGAAGACAGTGTCCTTCAGTAACTACCCGCTGTCTGCGGCACTCACATGTGCCAAACTGTGCAACGCCTGCGAGGACAAATGGGAGATCAAATAAAATCTTACATCTCAGTGTGGTTTTCTTCTCTCTTATTTATCATGTAACTGTAATACTTAGTGTTGATTTTGTATTGTGTAGAAATATTTAAAACAAAGCACGTTCACACAGTGTTCAATGGATTTGTGGTTTTGAGGTTACTGGACACCATTATTTTTAAGGGGTAGCGGCGGCCAAGTGGTTCAGGCGTCTGACATACTGCTACCACTAGCCCTCCACCACTGGGTCGCAGGTTCGAGGCCTACGGGGGGCAGTTGACAGGAACTGGCCATAGGTCGTAGGGTTTTCTCCCCGAAACTCCTGCTTTCCTCCACAACCAAAACTTGGCACGTCCTTAAATTACCATAGCTTTTAATAGAACGTAAAACATATTAAACAAATCAAAACCAAACTGTATGTATTTTAACTCAATTAGAATTGTTTGCTGGTGTTTTGAATTCCCTTTTTTATTATTCAATGTGACAAGTGTAAATTTTACTGTCCCAAAATATTTTCCTGCTAACAATATCCTAAAGCTTTTTAATTGTTAAAAAATAATACTTCAATAAAATAAAATAAAAGATAAATTATTATACAATAAGACCTTGTCATACTGATATGATTTATACTGTATATAAACAAGGATATAAACACAGGGTTTTATGATCTATACAATTATGTTGCTGTCATATTGGATAAATGAAACAGTAAAAATAAAATAATAGTGCTGAAATGCCTATATACATGTATTTGGATATATTGAAAGCACTGTAAGATTACATCTTATACAAATGTATTTGTACAAAAACAACATTTGTGCTACAGCATATATAAAACATTGCCTATATATGAAGCAAATGAATTGGTTTCAGACAGTTGAAGTTATCATATATAACTTTGCTGCATCAGCTATATCTAAATACAATGACAACAATCTTTGTGGTATCATGTTCGGGGGTAAAATGTGATTGGAAATCCCCCTTACCTTCAAACTCTTTCAGTTGGACAACAGTATTAGAAAAAAGTGGAAAGTTTTCCATATATTTTGAAAAAAATAAAATCAAAACTTGTTTACTGCTAATATATAATTGTTTTACTGCTCATAAAATTATTTTCGAAAAAAATATATAAAATATAAAAACACTGATGATTATGTTATTTAATTCTAAATACACTGTATACGTATGATATACACATCAATATTAGATAAAGACTGGATAGTAACACTATGATATACACATCAAAATTAGATAAAGACTGGATAGTAACACTGTATGATATACACATCAAAATAAGTTAAATACATGCACAACCAGAGACACTGAGACTGATTTGGGAAACAAAATGGCCGACCTGCTGCCATCTTTGATTTTGACAGTTTTGTTACCTCAACTTCACAGAAAGTACTGGAAGGATCTTTCTCAAATCTTGTATTTATTTTCCCCAATGTTGACAGTACCTCTAATTAATTGAACTTACAAATGTTAGCATTTTGCATATGATTATGCTATTCATATATACATAACATTTTCCATAGTTGCAAATAGCATGACATTACGAGGTTGATGTAAAAAAAACAAAAAAAACATTGAAGAACAAAGAAGGTAAAAGATCCTCTTTTGTAGATCTGATAAAACTCTTTTCATGATGGGTGCCAAGATCCTTCTATGATCTCTGTTCATATATAGCTATAGGTTCCCATTGGTCTTCTTGAAACCAGGCAGCCATCTTGGATTTTAAGAGTTAAAACGTTTGCTATTGCTATTCCACAAACTTTACATAGATTTTCATTGGTCTTTAATTGTGCATGTTTCATTTTAAGGCTGATCGGACAAAGCAAGATGGCCGTCAGGCAGTCCTCTTAAATTTTTAGTAAAAGTTAGTTAGCGCTATTTCCCAAGAAGTACTTAACAGGTTTTCAAATGTAGGTTCCTCTTGTTATACCTTAAGTACCCTGCTTATAAATATGGTCTATCATTTGACAGCCTCGCTTCGAAAAATGTTTTACACAGCAGTATGAAGTTTTGACCAAAAGTTACCACAAGGTGGCCTTTATGGGTTTACTGTTTTAAATGACTTAATACAACAGATCTGAGAATAGAAGAAAAAAATCTATCTTGCATAGAACCACTGAAGAACTTATGATGGCCGCCAATGTCCCTCTGGGATCTTTTGTAACAACAAGTAAATGTAAATCCAAGAATTGTGTGACCTAGACGATTCCAATGTCAATGAACTTTGTATAATGTGTTACAGTGTATTTCATAGCAATGTTGTTATCAATGAAATTGACGTGTTATAAACAATGTAAATAGAAAGCAACATAATGTTAATTACATATTAAGCTCAGGTGCCTACAATACTCCTTTCATATTAAGCCTTTTCAAACATGTGCTGTATAGTTGAAAAATATGCAAAATCTTAACAAAAGTCACTATTTATTTGAATTTCGCTAATTAATTCAAAGTTTAACTTGTTACCATGGATCTAAAGTCATGCCGACATTCAAGCAAAATGTTGCATCAATCTAGGTGGCTCCTAAATGGAGTTTCAAAGGACAGTTCACAGCCCAGTGACCGAGACCCCCGCACTTGAAACATACTGCCATGGGACATTCAGGGTTGGAATGACCACTCTGGTTACATTGAGTGCAGAATCTATAACAAAGCAAATTAGTTAGAAGTTAGTTTTTACCAGAGCTAAAGTCAATTCACTATTCAATCCGTCATTATAATTTATTTTATCTTTTTAACGTGCGTGTGTGTAGTCAGTTTTCCAATTAACTAAATCATATTAAAGTTGATATATAATTGTATGTTCACACAAATTTAACCAATAAGTTAATAACGTTTGACCAGGAAAAAATGTGAAAATTGATTTTCTTTTTACAGTAATGATGTCGGACCTTTCACACCTGATAAAATATGTTCCAAGTAAGCATTTTTGGCAAATAATTCATTGACTGAAGAGCACTCGATATAATTTTTCAGGGTTCAAATCTTTCCATCAAAGACATTTGAACAAGGAAGTTCTGTGTAAATGTAAAGTTTGACTGACAAGTGTCGTCCGTATACCTCTGCATTTCTGCGAACGTATCATTAGCCAATGGGTCTCAACTAAGGTTATATACACTAAGAGGATGGGGACGGGAATCTAAAGAGGTCACATTGGATCATTTGCTGTTGATGACTTCTCCTTCCAAATACTGGACAGGATTCAACCAAATTGATTGTAATATTCTTTCCCTTATTTATTTTTTAAATTTGCATTCGTCTATATGTACATATACATCTTATTTCTTACTTGTAATGTCCAACTGTATCCCAGTGACAGCCAGTAACATCCACATTACGTGCAATAAACAAATACACCAATTGCAAGGTGTCCGTCATTTCTCCTGCCTGTCCATTTTTCAGTGTTGTGAATGTGTTATTCATCATGTCAATGGTCAGATATTGGTTGTTATGGACAATAAGTTGATCTGTACAATGTTTTTTACACCAATCGTTTTCTATGTCATCATCTCTTAGAAGTATGAGTCTAACATAAGTTTTATTTCCTCGAAGTATAATCGATTCTAAATATAAAACCAGATTGTAGCTGCCCAAGTCCGTTAGTAGACTCACTACTGGCTTCAGCACACGTTCTGTACCAAAAGGAGATAGAGTTGGCAGACAACTGTTCCGCAGTGTTACTCCAAACCAAACGCCGTGCGGAGCATCGCCTCGTGCCAGTGGTGCTTCCCATATGTTAGGTGTGTGATGCTTTTTTAAAACTTTTGAATCCTGTATAGATTTCTTTAGATGTGATTTCGTGCAATGCGTCAGAAACTGGAAGTTTTCCATTGCAATGTTTGGATTTGGAGCAACTAGGCTGTTGCTTAGACCCCCAACAAGGCCATTGCTAAGTAGATTTGTTCAGTATTCAGTGTATGTTGATAACCTTCAGGAAAAGAAAATGTAAGACCATCAATAAGTTGTATCCATATTATGAGAATTTGTGTTTTTTACTAGATGACTTTGTCATTGACACTCTGATAGAAAGACATGAAATGTAACAAGAGGCCCATACAGCCTGTATCGGTTCATTAGTTCATTTTCAAGGAAGAGGGTCGCTACTGATCCTGCCATTAATTGTTGTGACTGAGCCTTCAGGAAGTCTGGGGTCTCCGCCTCTGTGCCCCCATATACCCTTCCTTACAGAGTTTAAATGATAATAATAATAATAATAATAATAATAAGTAGATCAGTTATGTTCTGTCCCTTTGGGCCGAGTGGTGTAATCACTGTCAGTGTACTCACTGTCGACACTAAGAGTCTAACAAAACTATATGTAGATAAAACCAAAACAACTACAAGCGTTTTACGAAGATATAAGTTAGCAATCTTATAACCTTATTTCCAAGCATAACACTCACAATAAGCAGAGCAACTTTACATATGAATCTATTAATAGCGGTCCGATTGCATCACGTTTAGAAATAGTCAAACCGGCTACAACCGGATAAGTTTTTCTCGAGGTTCATGAAATAACAACGAGAAGACGATTTATGTACAACATTTTATTTTCCCTGTCGAGATGGAATGACCGTGGGTCGGAGAGCCATCCCACATCCACTCTTACAAAGATTGCCTACTCTATCATGGACAATATAAATATATATTTACAACTAAATGAGAGCCAACTACCACCTGTAATACAGTACTAGAGCGATCTGTGTATATGTACGCTCTTTCCCATAATACGGGGTCCTGATATTGGACCTTTCTAGGGTAGTTCACTCTCCTACAAATAAGTAACATCAGACGCGCGTATCCAAGAATTGAAACTCGTAGGGCAGTGAAGCCATTTGACGTAGTGTTGTTTGTTTCGGCCTTTTCCTTTGGTTTTCAAAATGGCTACCACCTTCCGCATGTTGTCGTGCCGAAAATCCACTTTCTGTAGCTCAGACTGATAAAAGGTTCCTTTGATCTCGTCTCCATCGTAGTCTTTGACTCTGTATGGAGGCAATCCTCCGCGTAGTATCTTTTGAGAGATGGTAAATATCTCCCCCGTCCATTTTTCGTCGTATTCTCGGGAGAAAGGGTTCCTCAAATAACATAATCTTACTTTGTCTCCAACCTTGAACTTTAACGGCTTACGAACCTTTTTCGTTTTTCGTAAGACTGGCTGTTTTTTCGGCCAATACATTATCCACCAGATAGACGTTTCCTTGTCTTTAGTTACATTTGCTGGGGCCATACCGATTGTCCGGTGATTCGTCTGATTGTAGCTGTTTCGTTTTGGGCATGTAAATGGTGTATTCCATATTTGTCCAGAAACGCATTCTTATCGGTCCGCATCCGTCTGGGTTGTCTCCCCTCATATAAAATGTCCTGAAATGCCTTTGCTACAGTTACCCCTTTTTTGTCTTTAAGCGGTCTCAGTCACAAGTATTTAGAGAACACAATAGCCGTCGTTTTCACTTTTGAACTTGACCATGTCCATGAGTCCGCAGACCATTGGTCGTCGATTCCAGTCACGAGGATCCTGTTTCGTTTAAAATGATTGTTAATCTTGGTTGGTTGAAGGGTTTTTCGCCGACATGATTCCGCCCATACGGAAGTCGGTGTTGTGTCGGCTATTGTTAATCTGGTCTTTCAGTCATTTTATAGGCTGTTCACAAAATACGTCACAGCGCATGCGTAACGACTCGGATGTTTCAGGTTTCAAATCGACGAGGAGATATCCGTACGGCTTATGGGTACCCTCTTTGAAATGTCTCATCAGGTGTTGAATATTTTCAAGGTACATCTATCTGGCTAGAGCCATGACCTGTTGTTTATCGATAGTGTTGTTAAACTGTACCAGGTAGAGGCAGTTACGCCTCTGAGTAGTGTCTTTATTGTAGTAGAGGTTCTGATTGATGGCAATGACAAACAAGTTTCTGTGGTGGCTTCCCTCGGTAAACAATTCGTTAATGCAAGGGTCCTTGCTTACTTTCGACATTAGATCGTCCAGAATGACAAGGTTTCTTATTCCAGGGTTTATGAATGTATCCTGATCTAATTCCATTCCCTGGATAAATTCCACGTTCAGTAAAACAGATGTTTTGATGACGTCATAGAGAGGTTGCCACCGTTTGTATAGCCAAGTGATTCGCTGTGGAGCTGGTGTTATTTTGTCAAACAGTTTTGTAGTAAAGTCTTTACAAAGTAAGTCTTCCCACAAGACGTCGGTCCCGACACATTTGCAGTGAAGGGGTGTTGAGGGCTGCTGCTGGGTAACTCCATCTTCATGGTAGGACGGCTGCCTTTCTGGGTATTGCTGCTGCTGCTGCTGCTGCTGGGTAACTCCATCTTCCTGGTAGGACGGGTGCCTTTCCGGGTATTGCTGCTGCTGGGTAACTCAATCTTCATGGTAGGACGGGTGCATTTCCGGGTATTGCTGCTGCTGCTGCTGGGTAACTCCATCTTCATGGTCGGACGGTTGCCTTTTCGGGTATTGCTGCTGCTGCTGCTGCTGTTGGGTAACTCCATCTTCATGGTAGGACGGCTGCCTTTCCGGGTATTGCTGCTGCTGGGTAACTCCATCTTCATGGTAGGACGGGTGTCTTTCCGGGAATTGCTGCTGCTGCTTCTGGGTAACTCTATCTTCATGGTAGGACGGTTGCCTTTCCGGGTATTGCTGCTGCTGGGTAACTCCATCTTCATGGTAGGACGGTTGCCTTTCCGGGTATTGCTGCTGTTGGGTAACTCCATCTTCATTGTAGGACGGGGGCCTTTCCGGGTATTGCTGCTGCTGGGTACCTCCATCTTCATGGTAGGACGGCTGCCTTTCCGGGTATTGCTGCTGTTGGGTAACTCCATCTTCATGGTAGGACGGGGGCCTTTCCGGGTATTGCTGCTGCTGGGTAACTCCATCTTCATGGTAGAACGGGTGCCTTTCCGGGTATTGCTGCTGCTGCTGCTGCTGCTGGGTAACTCCATCTTCATGGTCGGACGGCTGCCTTTTCGGGTATTACTGCTGTTGTGTAACTCCATCTTCATGGTAGGACGGCTGCCTTTCCGGGTATTGCTGCTGTTGGGTAACTCCATCTTCATGGTAGGACGGGGGCCTTTCCGGGTATTGCTGCTGCTGGGTAACTCCATCTTTATGGTCGGACGGCTGCCTTTTCGGGTTTTGTTGTTGTTGCTGCTGCTGCTGAGTAACTCCATCTCCATGGTAGGACGGCTGACTTTCCGGGTATTGCTGCTGCTGCTGCTGCTGCTGCTGCTACTGCTGCTGCCCGGTAACTTCATCTTCATGGTCGGACGGCTGCCTTTTCGGGTATTGTTGTTTTTGTTGCTGTTGCTGGGTAACTCCATCTCCATGGTAGGACGGCTGCTTTCCTGGGTATTGCTGCTGCTGGGTAACTCCATCTTCATGGTAGGACGGCTGCCTTTTCGGTTATTGCAGCTGCTTGGTAACTCCATCTTCATGGTCGGACGGCTGCCTTTTCGGGTATTGTTGTTATTGTTGCTGCCGCTGGGTAACTCCATCTCCATGGTAGGACGGCTGTCTTTCTGGGTATTGCTTCTGCTGGGTAACTCCATCTTCATGGTAGGACGGGTGCCTTTCCGGGTATTGCTGCTGCTGCTGCTGCTGCTGCTGCTGCTGGGTAACTGCCAGATATATTAACTTAAGCAAATACGACACTAGTGTTTCATTTCGATGTGTTTTCTTCAGTGTGTTCTTCAGAATGAAATTTTATCGGTTTCACTCCCGTATTTATACCCTTTCTATTCACTGTCAGCATTCTCATCATTTAATTGGTTGATGCAATTTTTGCATTTTTTTCCCTCATACATATTTTGATTTTCAAAACAGATTTTGAAGCATGCGAACGCGTTAAATTTTCCTGAACATAACGGGACATATAACACTATCTTTTTATCGTTTCTACAAGAGTTTCTGATTAAAGGACCGATGGACAATCAACGCTACTGTCACCAGTTATAGAGCATCACCCAATGGGTCCAAATGAATTATTGGCCGGAAAGACGTTCATGGATATCGCGGGGACATGTCACTTTATAACGCCAAATATTAGTATGTAAATATTGCACAATATATCCAAATCCTTTGACACAAAAAGGAGCTACAGGTAAATGTTAAGCTATTGTTATTATTGCGTTGGCATGTCTTATTAAAGGACCGATGGTCCTATGGTGTTCGTACGAAGACAATCAACGCTACTGTCACCAGTTATAGAGCATCACCCAATGGGTCCAAATTAATTATTGGCCGGAAAGATATTCCTTGATATCGCGGGGACATGTCACTTTATTACACCCTCTTTCTGTTGTGGGCTTGTGACACCGCCCTAATCCAGTACACCCAATTCATGTGTGACAAACACCTCAGACTTTACAACTTATATTACTACATTATTTCAACATGTATGGCTAATAGTTAGTTAATACTTACCTTTTCCAATGCTGATTATCGCTGAGGGTTTAGATCCTACTCGTCCAAGTGTCCGCTTTAGAATGAGCTTGATTTGGTCCTCAATTTATACCTTCTGAAACCATGAATGGAAATCGTCTAACTTGATTGAATAAGTGAAGATTTTGCAAATTTATTTTACAATTTTTTCGTTTTTCTTGCCTCCCGAAGAAGAAACTTTCTACCAAGCCCGAGAGTCCAAATGGCAACGTTTAGCTCGACGAAAAGCCACCTACCTAGACCTCTCGACTGAGCAAGCCTTCCTTACACCTCTACCTATTTTGTACGTATACACAGTACATAAAGCAAGGCTAAATTTAGAAACTATGTCAGGCTAGATATACATGTACGGTGAATTAATATAGGGATATGGAGAATATACATGATTGCTAAAGGTTTGTCCTTTTAAATAAGCTTTATATGAATAATGATTATGTGATGTGTGAAGGTATTGCATCTATGCTAGGATATAGTTCGTCTTAAGGCTATGCCGTTTACACTAGGTTCACATTGTTGGTCAGCGTAGTTTGTATTTATGAACGTATACAGCATCTTTACCATAATGATATTGAAAATATACATTTGAAATATGAATCACAAGAATGAGGATAATGTAGGTGTGTGTAGATCTCGAGTCTATACTAGTATTTTCTTGGGCAGTTTATTATGCTGTATGGCGGTATCTGTAAACCAGGCATGCTGTGTGACCTACTAAGACTTTTTAGTTCTGTGTTTCATAGTAAGTAGGATACGGAAAAAATGTTGTACATATATCGTCTTCTCGTTGTTATTTTATATAATGTTCTAGAAGAACTTATCCGGTTGTAACAGGTTCAACTATTACGTGATGCAATCGTTGCCGTTATAAATAGATTCAGTCAGGAAAAACCCAAATACATCATCGATGAGAACCCCCCTACACTTGTGACGTAATCGATCGGGTGCCACTAGGGAGATGCAAGGGAGGTGGTAAGGATTATATATGGGAGTGCACCGGATAGCCCTGTGCCAGAACCGGTACTTTTTACAAAACTAAACGGGGCCATTTCCGGTTCCGGGACATAACTTTTATTTGCTATCGAATATTTGCAAGCATTTACCGTACCCGAAAGAAATGTTTTAATGTTTGAAGATTGCATGGCTTTTGTTGACTTCCCACAGGCGGCGTTTGCTTGAATAACGTTCAAACAATGGTACACTCAGACTTTTCCTTTTAATAATTAATAACGTTTGTGCCAAATCTGGTGTGGGGTCGCTGCTCTTATTCTCCTTAACAATGATCCCGCGACCGCATTTTTATCCATGCCACTCCCGAAGCAGGGCTTGTGTCGTTAATGCAATTTGCCTTGCCCTCCTGTCCAACTTGTGCCACAAAGGATCGCGAACAAGTAAATTCTGTGAGATTGGAATTCGAAAACAGACGAAGATATTGCTTTCGATACGGAAACAACTTAATATACTCGCATTATCGTGCTGCCACGTAACATTAGCTGGTGATTAAACGGAACAATTTGTGGGTTTCTGAATCTGATCTGGATATATATCTTGTGCATATTAAATAAAGAATGTATGTCGAAAATGTTAACAAAACCGTTATTCAAATAAATTGACAAAAGAAGGGCTAAATATGAACAAATGTTTACATCGATTCAAGACGTCGATGGGATCGGTCCCCAGTCCAGGGCATATCAAAGTCCTTAAAATGGTAGTTGTTCTTTGCTAAACGTTCAGGATTTAGGAAAATCGCTACAATTGGTAAACTAGTTTTTACATGTACTATGATGTGACCTTGTGGTCATTTTCAATAAACAGTCTAAAGTAGGCATTCTACCCGCGTTATCGTAAGAAGAGGAAGAAAATAAACCATCATACCGCCTCCAGCAAATACATATGTATAAACATGCATTACACACATAGAGGTACGTAACGACCTAAGCTTTGGACGTAAACACAATAAAACTCAACCAAACCATGCATGCGGATTCTAAAAGAGTCCAACAGCAATAATAAAAGTGTGGTCGAGTGGCACGGTGAACATCCTGGAAATTCCAGGCCCCTAGAGTATGTGATGACTCCCAACTCCTTAAGTAGGGCCAGTTAGTTATTTCTGGTGTGTCGGGTAGACTCCCTACCATAGTGTATATTGTAACATGAAAGCGGAAACATGTAACTGAAATTGAAAGAAGAGGGGAAAGGTTATAGGAGAAGAAAGTTGAAATTAAGTAAATATGGTATATAAGGCAAACTTCTTCGATGACATTATTTATCACATGGTATTGAACGTGTACATAGGAGGCTATACTGCGTGGCTATTTAGTCCCATTAGGGCAATGCTAGCATGCTTTTGTGACTCAATCATTTGATACGACGATAATTATATGTCATTATATTTGGGTCAGGGAAATCTACACATGTATTGTGTAAGTGATTTTGGAATGTAGAAGGACATTTTATGGGCATGTCCTCGCACTGAAGAACAATGGGCAGTATCAATGAACATAAAGTAAGAAAGAACATGTTTATTAAATAAAATTGGAATGAGGAGGAATATTAAATGTTAAAGCATTTGTATTTAGGAAGAATATTTCATGCCAATCAATTAAATCGAGGAGATATATTTCATAAAGACGTTCTTCGAACAAGGAAGTTTATTTCATACCACGTAAGCAATCCGAAAGTAGGTTAAGTTGACATTTTTCGTGGTTTTGATTTTTAAACATTTAACAAATTTTGAAGAAGGCAACACCAATGTGACTATGGTGATTTATTTCCCCGATCTGCTACTATCTGAAGTCTCTTGCGATATCTGCTACAGACATTTATGACAAGAGCCACAGCAGATAGGCCTAATGTTCGGTGTTGTGGTGTGCGTGTTCGAGTCACAGCATATGCTCTGTGAATAATGTCAGCAGAAGTGTATGTGCACATGTATTTGCAACGAAATTCTGTGAAACAAACGAAGCCGGAAACAAACAATTCATTGTAACAAATTAATGACAAATAAGTATCAATTGTTATACCGTCCCTTCTGAAGACAACTTTGAAATCTTACCTTATCTTCCCGTCCACGCAGAAATGTATATGGTTCAGGGAGGTGATTATGTTACACTGGGCATGTATAATTTAATTTGTAAATATTTTGGATAAGCCACGCATGCGCTGATTTCTAGCTTCCCTGTGAACAATATCACGATATGAATCATGAAGAAATCTGGTAGGAAAGTTCCTTGTTGGATTATTACCACCAATTATTGTGCATTTGATAGTTTTATGAAAGGATAATAAAAAGTGAGTCCTAAACAACGTTGTCTGTAAATTATAAATAGAATGGAGACAAGAATTATTTCAAAATTATTTGGATCCTCTACAAGCAGTGCTGATTTACATAAAACAAGTTGTCACGATTTAAAAATATCAGATAGAGACTCTCCACTTGTCTGAGTTATTTTGTTTTAATCCATCATTAACCGTGACATTGTCAGACGAGCTTTTCAATAAATCGGTTCTAAGAACGACTTTTTGTACTTTCAGTTTCATTTTGTCTGTATTTCGGACAATTTATAGCACAGATTTGTATTTCAAAACTTCAAGTGAACTATTTCTCCTATGTTGGCTCGTCATGGTTAGGGATATTTTCGAAAACCTTCATCAATAATCATTGTTTGGAAGAAACGGGCATATTTTATGAGATATTGAAACCTATTTTTAGTTTGAGGAGAAATCATTGATGAATTGTTTAGATTCTTTAAAATATGCATACTATTATATGTCATTATATTTGGTTCAGGGAAATCTACACATGTATTGTGTAAGTGATTTTGAAATGTAGAAGGACATATTTTGTAAATGTTCTCGTAGTGAAGAACAATGTGCAATATCAATTGGAATGAGGGGGAATATAAAATGTTAATGCATTTTAATTTAGGAGGAATATTTCATGCCAATCAATAATCGAGGAGAAATATTTCATATAGACGTTCTTCGAACAAGGAATATTGTAAAATTAACAAGTTGTCATATCATTACAATTTGTTCTAATGTGAATAAAATTTAATGATGTTTTTTTCTTTCCTTGTACATATTGAAGTATTAGACTTAGTATTTAGCA